TCTTGAGACTTTCCAGAAATCCACTTGCTTTTAAAATAACAATAATTTCTAAACAATAGGTATTTCTGACTGTGGAAGATCAGGACTAAGCCGCAAACCACAGTGCATACTTATAATTTAAAATTACAAGATATTATTTAACACTAAAAGCTACCGCCTAACAACCAGGCCTCTGATACCACTTGTTGGGAAAAAATCGCTATTTCCCACCCTTCGGACCGGCTTCCAAGGCAGGGAAAACAAATGAGAAAAAATAAAAATAATGACTAAGAAATTAAAGGAGAATAAAAAATAACACCCCCCCCCCCCCAAAATAAATTTAACGTGGAAAACTTCCCCAAGTGCAAGAAAAACCACGGGTCGTTGCCAAACGACAACCAAGAAAAAAATATTCACTATGCGGCAAATTGTTACAAACCACAATACAAAATTAATTTTTCTACCCCACCACCCTCAAAACACCTCCAAAATTATTTTCATTACTCCAAGGGGACTCCAAAGAGACTTGCTTCTAAATCCCTAATATTAAAAAACACAATCAAGTGTTTTTGGTGTGTTTTGATATGTTTTTAGGAAAACCTTAAACTATTTGGCTCCTTCTTATAGCTAAATCCCTAATATAAAACACATTCAAGTGTTTTTGGTGTGTTTTGATATGTTTAGAAACCTAAACTTTGGCTTCCTTTTATAGCCAAACCTACCACCCTCTTTTGCTCATCTCTCCGATGTGGGATTGAGCAAAACTATTTTTTTTTTATTTGTTTTCAACAATGGCGGCTAACAATTTTATTTCTATTGGATTTATTGATTGTATTTTGTTTTGGTTCATTAAATTTTTTAGTTAAACTTAATAGTCTAAAAGGCCTAATTTTAAAGCTCATTATTAAATCGTGATCATTAGAAGAATTAATGGCCAATTAAATGTATTTGGTTTAAGTCGGTTAAATCCTATAGATTGTATAACCTATTAGGGTTATCATGAGAGACCCTAATAATCTCCTATATATATATAAGCTATGTACTCTCTCTCTCTATTCATACTTAGCCGATTATTTTCTTCCCTCAAAGGGGACTTCGGCAAGGAGACCCACTTTCGCCTTATTTGTTTCTATCTGCGAAGAGGTTTTTTCCGGTCTCATTCGTAGGGCGGAAAGGGTTAGGAGCCTGCATGACATTAAAATTTACAAAGGAGCTCCTTCTATTTCTCACCTATTTTTTGCAGATGACAGCATCATTTTTTGGAGAGCTACAGGTGCAGACATCAATTCTATTATGAAGATTCTTGGAGATTATGAGAGAGTCTCGCGGCAAAAAATTAATCTCGATAAATCAAAAATTTCTTTTACTCCAAATGTGTCGTCGATCAGCAAGAGTTGATTAATCAGAAATTGGGGGTAAGTGGTGTGTAATTTCCATCTAAGTACTTTGATTTACCTGCTATGATAGGGAGGAAGAAAAAGCTCGTGTTTAGCAACTTAGTTGACCGTGTTGCAAAAAAACTGAAAGGCTGGAAAGAAAAATATTCATCAAAAGCAAGAAAGGAGGTATTGTTAAAGGCCGTGGCATAGGCAATTCCCACCTATACCATGAGCTGTTTCATGTTACCTAAGGAGATGTGCAACCAGATTGAGAATCTTATGGCTAGATTTTGGTGGAGCCAAAGGAATAATGAGCGAAAAATTCATTGGGAAAAATGGAGGGGTTTGTGTAAATCCAAGCAAGGAGTTGGGGTCAGTTTTTGAGACTTGCATTCTTTTAATCAAGTAATGTCAGCAAAGCAGGGGTGGCGACTGTGTAAAGATTCAGATTCTCTGTTGGCTACAATGCTCAAAGCCCGATACTATCCTAGATTTCCATTTATGGAGGCTTGAGTAAGCTATAATCCAAGTTATGTTTGGCGTAATGTTAGGGATGCTAGATTGTTAATTAAGAAAGAGGCACGATGGCTTGTGGGGAATGGTGCAAATATACAAATTTAGAAGAATAGGTGGGTTCCATCACTACAACTACAAGGGTATCAGGTTTGCTCTCCTCCTATTTTAGATGAAAATGCTACTGTTAGTGAATTAATTGATCATAATTATTGTGCTTGGAGAGTTTATTTAGTTAATAGCATTTTTATTCGGGGAGAGACAGAAGCTATATGCAATATCCCTTTGAGCAATCAAAGGGGATCGGATTTGCTAGTTTGGACCTTGAATAAGAATGGAGTGTACTAGGTATGATCGGCACACCATGTAGCATTGGCTAATGCATTGAGTGATGAAGTTGAATCCTCAACCGCTAGTCAGTATTCTCCATTTGGAAGACGCTTTGGAAGCAGAAGATCCCGCCAAAGGTGAAATGCTTCGTTCGCCGTGCTTATCATAATCTGCTCCCCATACGGTATAATCTTGATAGGACGGTAATAAAGATAGATACCATGTGTCTTAGATGTGGTGAAGGTGTAGAATCAGTGGATCATGTGTTGATGGAGTGCCCAATAGTGAGGGAGGTATGGCTACTGTCTCCATTACAGTTAAGAGAGGTAAATATAGAGGTTGGTTACTGTGCATGGTTGCGAACTAAAATGCAATAGTTGGAAGACCTTCAAATAAATCGAGCTAGTTGCAACGCTATCATGGGACCTTTGGCAGGCACGAAACCTTCTGATTTTCCAAAATAAATTTCTACTAGTTCCTGATATTTGTAACATGGCCTTATGACCTTTAGTGTTCTTTTTGAGGTCTCAAGACATGATTGATACAGGTCCGACGAGGCAGGCCTTTGAAGGTAGTAGATCTTGGTCTCCACCGGTAGTAGGGAGGGAGAAAGTAAATTCTGATGCTACTGTCAAAGAGGGTCTAGGGATGGGCTTGGCGTTTGTGGCTCGTAACATTGCTGGTGAGGTATTAGCAGCAGGCTTGAGGAGGATGCGTCAACTTCTATCTCTAGAAGAAGCTAAAATTGAAGCAGCTAGCTTTGCGATTTCAAGATCAGTGGAGTTGGGGTTCAGTCATATTGTGCTTGAGTCGGATCACCTTGCCTTGGTAAATCAGCAAAATAACAATTATTTCCCATGTTCTAAGTTGGGTACTAGATTTTTGAACTTGTATCTGGTTACTCATTCTTTTGCCTCTTTTTCATGCGTGCATGCCTTTCGAACTTGTAATAAGGTCGCACATGTTCTTGGTCAAATGGCTGTTACTATTAAAGTAGAAGAGCTTATGTTTGTTGGGGAAGTCCCCTCCCCTGTTGATGTTATTATTTTGGAGGATTTTGCTCCTTAGTTTATAAAATGATTCATTTTAGTCTAAAAAAAAGAATGATACCTTGTAATCAAAAAAATATATTGAGTATAAGTTATATGTGTTATAAAGAATGATACATGCATAGGTATGTATACGACACTTTTACAATAGATAATCTCTTGGGATTGCATAATATTTATTATGAAATTATATGTTTTTCTAAACATATTAAAGTCTTTATTAATTACTACTTGATGGATATTGAAAAGGAAAACAACTTGGATATATCTTCATATAACAATAGAAATTATTTCATAAAAGAATTATTAAATGGCATCTACTTGTGTTATTTTACCATGTATTCTATTTTTTAAGGGAATAATAGTTTTATTCTTTTGCATAAAAAAAATTTTAAAGCGCATTTAAGTTAATGATATCTTTGAATCCATGAAAGGATGTATTATGGTAGCATGTACCTATTGTTTTGTGTATAATATAGAAGTATATGTTAGTTCTTGCCTACATGCAAAAAATATATTTCAATTTTCATTAATGACTAAAAATATGAAATAAATATTAAAGTTTATTTATAGATTTCATAAACCAAGAGGTTAACTATTAAAAGCTATTGTACTTGAATCTTTATATTCTTGATTGGGAGTTTTGGTTGTGACCAATATTATTTTAACTCATTTACAAAAATATGCTTGAACCCCTTATTTTTGTTGATAATTTTATTTGAGTTGTGAAGTATTTTTTTGATGATCGTCATTTTATTTTTAAAGTATGCATGATGCGTATGGTTTGATTTTATGAATAACTATATAAATAATGCAAACTAAAGAAATTCTTAAATTGTTCGTAAGTGTAAATTGTTTTATTACTATAAAGGCTTATGATTGAAGCATTATTAGACTTTGCAAATTATTAACATTCTGCAGATTGAATTGAAGGTTTAAGTTGTACTTAATCATGATTATTATTGTTGAAGGAGCTTCTTGATGAAGCATAAATGAAGCAAACAAAGTCTTAATTTTACTTAAGCATGATTGTTTGTCGTTAAAAAAGTTTCTTAGTGAAACATGAATGTAGTCTCATGAGAGACTAAAAGGAGGACAAAGTTGAGATTAGTACATTTGATCATATGGTGATGCTAATTTTCACACCAAAGTAGAGGTAGTCTCATGAGAGACTAAAAGTAGATCTTGATGCTTGGTAGAAGCTAAATTGAGATCCTCAATAGCTACTCTTAAGATTTGCTTCCATATTCAATTTTCTCTCTTAAGATTGCTCTTTCTCCTCTTGTTCTCTCTAAAGGCTTAACAGTAAGATTGATGAAACATCAAAAGTTAGTGGCTAAAAGAGAAACCCTTTGATTTTTAATTGTTTTTGCTATGAAGTGATTAAATATTGTTAGAACACTATGATTTTGATGATTGTTTTTGTCTAAAATATTGCATCACAAAGAGAGAAACCCTTGTTTTTTATTGAATATTGTTAGGGCATTTCTGTCTTTTCCATGTAATTACCTTCTGAAATTGAAAAAATTGGACGGAAGGACAATAGCGTTTAACGACAGCAAACTATGAGTACAAAGTAGTATATTTCAAAAAATAAAGGGTCATAGTAGTCAATTTTGGCAAAATATAAGGGCACAATTATAATTTTTTCTTATTTTATTATTTTCCGTGATTTCAATTTATATACAAATATGTTGGGCATTAAATTTAACAGATTACACATATAATTATCATTATTATAGAGTTGGTATTGGTGCCAAACTTTCTTTTTTATTTCTGTATACAAGTAAAAGCCCAATTCAAAAGTTTTACTAAGTTACACATGTTTTGACAATTCCTTTTACTTGTTTGCTATTTGATTTCCAATAAAGGTTGTAGCACTTAATAAATCTGGTTGACATGCACACATATAGTTTATACAAAAACACCAGTAGGGTGGTTGACAAATCTCTTGAGAACATGTTGGATTATTTTCAATACAATCTCTTACTGTTTTGCATCCAAAACCAACTATTGGGCCTCTTGCTCTTGCCCCAACCTGCAAACCTGAAGCATTTGCCAAATCTCACATTTAGTTAAAGCTTATATAATAATATTTTAAAAACAAGCAATCATACAGAAAAGGAAGATTAACGAACCAGAGACAATCAGTAGGAAAATTGCAATGGAAGCAAACTTGAATGCAAACATCTTCATGAAGGATGCGTTAACTTTCTATCTTTGTGTGTGTGTGTGTGTATATATATATATATATATATATATATATTCCATAAATGACTAGATACGTATTAAAGTCATATTTAATTAAGAAATCTGATATTCAAATATAGTAATAGATATAGATTTTGTCAATTAATTCTAGCAAATCCAAAATTTTTACTTTAGAATTTTATCAAAAACATCATAAAATAATAGAAATTACCTATCTAACTTTTTTCCATTGAAACAATAATATTTTTACCATATAATGTAATAACTACACTATGAAAAAAAGATATAAACTCTTAACACATAGGGAGTCTTCAAGTGGTGAAACATTTTGTAATACTCATTATCCAGTCCCACAAGATTGGATAATAAGCGATACATTGGGTCTCACACAGGAGGTGCTGGACCCGCATGCATACACGCTTAGCCAATCAAAATCATTTAATTAATTATTTTGCAAAAATGAATTAGAAAAATTCTTAAAGAATTCTTATAGGAAATCTGCAAAAAATTTCTTCTATATTTTCAATATCTCAAAACACAGAAAAACTTTTTTAACACTTCGATAAATCCATCTACAACCCCAACTGCATTTTCAAATCATTTATCCAACACAAAATCATCATCAGCATCCTCAACTCAAATCAACATAGTTTTACCAAATGGATAAGATCAAACTCATTTTAATTTAAAGCAGCTAGAAATAATCATCCATGACATAAATTAATATTCTGACTTAGAAAATATAGCTTATATTTTAAAATATTTAATACACGATAGTCTAAGAGAAAAAAACTGACAAGAGAACTAATAGTCTGGACAAAATATGAGCCTCTGATATCTGATGCTCACTATGGTCTGCTATCCAATACTCAGCAACCTGCATGTTGACTTGACATAAATGTTAGTGGTGCTTATTTTCTCATTTATCAGGGAAATATACATAAGCACATTCAATAATGATTCATATTCAAATCATAATATGATATTATGTTCAGAGTATGCTATTCAACAAATCATAGCATAATTTAGTAACATAATAAAATCTTCATACTTAGCATATAATAATGAATTCCTTAAATAATGCATCACTTAATTAAAGTATAATCACGTGCTTAATCATATCATCACAATAAACATAGTACTTCCATAAGTAGCAACATAATTAATTATTTAATTTATTTCTTAAAATTATTTTTTTAATTATGCTAGTAGCACACTTGAAAGAACCAAATAACAAATAAAAAAACATAAACATATGGCTTGAAACTCCATAATCATACATTAGATATGTCGTCTGAATCATAAAAGGCCTTATCATAAGTTTGGAAGTTTGCTAGCTTCTAAAGTCGGGGGTTTGTTAGCCCCTGAATATAAGGCACTGCGTGTCTCATAATTAATTTCATAGACGGTACTGTATCGGATTCTATGACATGTCATACCTCTATATTACTATTAACTCAACCAAGTAAATTAGGGCCAGTAAAATCCACTAATTATTTTATTCCATAAAAGACTCGTGTTAGAGTTCATAATTAAAATTTTCGATCTCATAATTACAATAGAGACATGCTATCATAGACTGAAAAATATTTTTTTATGAGATTCGTTTTATTCATAAGATCATTTTCGTTTGGTTTATTCAATCATGTTAAATTTCTATAATTCACATACTTAACACAAACTCATAATATATTCAAAAAGAATATATTATTTCATGAAATATTCTACCATAGCACATAAATTCATGCCACATAATTAATTATTCAATCATAGGATAATTTCACTAGATTATCACATAAATATATATTTTGGCACAAATTTCAAGGTTCTGGCACAATTCCCAATGCACATGAATTCTACATGAGTGTTATTAAATCCATGAACCATTTATTTGCCTATTTAAACAATTTAACTACCTAATAATTTATATTTCCATATTATCCTATTATTTCTATTAATTTCAATTAATCACCTAATTATCATCAATTAACTACTTAATCATTTAATTAATCTATATCTAACCAATTAATTTAATTCTCTCATTTAATAATCACTAATACTAATTATTTAACATCTTAATTAAGGCCAAACTACCATTTGGTCATTGAAGTCCACATTAATTATAAAAGGGCTTTACTTTGGAACAAATAGACTAATGATCTTATTGAATGTAGGTGGTCCATAATTAATCCATTTTAAGGGTTCCAATTATAGTTATAGTCCTTAATTTGTGCAAATGTACATATGTCCATACTTTAGATGGTAATTGCATTTAGGTCCTCTTAATGAAACAATTAAGTCCATAATTTCCTTTAATAGTTTATTAATATCGAAACTCCTCCAAGCATAGAAAAATTACCAAATTGTCCTTGGAATTGTTTAAAATCAGTCCTCAAAGTCTTGCAAATTTACATTTGGCCCCCTCATAGGTTCGACTTCCATTGTTTAATCTACTAAACAATTTAATCAATTCTCCAAAAATTAAATAAATCATTATTAAATATCATATAACAAAGATCAAGTCTATTTCTCATCAAAAGAAAATAAAATCAAGAAAATCAATATGAAGGGGGTTCGGCCTCTTATGGAACACACTTCAAATCTTCACCAAACTGCATGAAATTAAAGCCATAGTATTTTTATCTCATATACATAAGGATTATAACATCAAAAATGAAAAATCATGCAAAAATAACCAACAACATACAACCCTATAGTTCGACCTTTTACACAAAAGGGCTCTATAACGCCTTGAATTTTGAATCAGTAGTTACGACAATTCCGCATCACGATCAGTGGTCTCGAGGAGTGATCGGTAATTTTGACCCGTAGAAGTGTTATTCAAGTTGTGAGTGTATGTTAAATATAGTGGCAAAGTAAGTTAATTTAGATAGTTAAAAAGTTGTTTTAATAACCGAGGCAAGGGCATCAATGGAATTATTGAAAATGGTTATGTGATGTAAGCGAGTGGCATTGTTGCAAGTAATGGAGTAGAGATGTGGCATAGTACTGTAAATATAGCTTAAAGTTGATTTATAGAATTAAGCGAATTCTTAACAGCACTCATCGACCTGTCACGATGGACTAAAATATGATCAATATCTGCCATTTCGTTAGAAAGAATACATCGCCCATCAATATTCAACCCCCCTCCGGTTAAGCCTTTCCTTTTGGGAAGCTAATTCCTAGTAGCACACCATATAAAATCATAACCTTTGGAGGAAGGTCAAGATTTTAAGCTCACTCTAAATATCTCCACTTAATCTTATAGGTTCCTTCCCCAAGTACTTCAAACTTGTATAACATCCAAATTTGACCGTATATACTCCGTTCTTATCAAAATTCCAGATAAGAGTATCCCTCCTATTAAACGAGCTAATTGGTATGCTGATAATTTCTCTCATATCCCTAATACTAAATAACACCATAAGCTTATTAATATTCCACTTACTACCTCCCTACTTAGAAAAGATCTTTAACTCTTATATTAAGATTAATAAAAGATGCACCACCATCCATAAAGAAAGAATCATTTTTTGGGACCAAGGATCACTAGCCACCCTAATTCCTTCAATATTACCTACCCTCCATCTAACTCCTTACTTTAAAACACCACTAGAAAATGATACACTTCCATAAAAAAACGTGAATTTCTTCATAAAGAAGTCTTAAGAAACTCTCATCCAGGAAATATTTAGCTTTGAAGATTCTATAAAGGAGAGTGTTATCGGTTAATAACCTTCACCCTTACTAACCTAATATAGCAACATTAAAGCAAAGAAAGTCTCTAAAACCCATTCCACCATTCTTTTTAAGACAACACATCCTATCCCAATCAAGTCAATTAATACCTTTACCCATCTCTCGTACCACCCTACCAAAACTTATTCATAAGTTTGTGCAAATCATCACAAATCAATAAAGTAGGAAAACACTCATACAAACAGAAGCCACTGATTTTAAGAACCTCACAACCTACTCGAGACAAAAATCTATTGTTCCACCTATTAACCCTTTTACTAAGGCTATCCTTAATAAACCCAAAAATTTATTTCTTATTTTGCCTAAAAAGTGAAGGCAAGCCTAAATAACTACCCCTTCTAAAGGGTTATAAATATCAAGGATACCCGAAATATTATGCTTCAACTCATTAATCGCATTTGGGCTAAAGAAGATGCCCGATTTAACAAAATTCACCAATTGACCTGAGGCTTTTTCATACTGATGAAGGATAGACTTTATTCTAGACGCTTCAAAAAAATTTGCAAGAAAGAAGAGTGAATCATCTGTAATCAAATGATGAGAGGTTCTAGGACACCAACTCCATGGACACCCATGGATTAAACCCCTTCTTTGGGCATCAGAAAATAAAAGAGATAAACTTTCCGCACAAATAAGATACAAGTAGGGAGAAAGAGGATCCCATTGCCTTAAACCCCTGCCAGGTTTAATAAGACCAACATGACTTCCACTAAAAAGTAACTTTGTGATTAACTTTGTAATCCTAATACTTCTTCTCTAATGATAAAATAGTTAATTGATATTTCAATTATTTATAATTTTTATATGTAGTTAATTCATAATAGTTAAGTTATTTTTTAACATATATATTCATAATACCAACTATGTTCATGCACATGTATATTTATAAGTCTAAAACTTATGTACATAAAAATTTTTGTTTTACATAAGTCATTTTATAATTAATAACTAATTATTTATATAAAATAAATTATATGAGTAAATATATAGAATTCAACTCAACTATTGTACAAAAGAAATTGCTTGATTACTTAATTTTATAATAAATATTTATGAATATTATTTTTATATTTAATCAATTATAAACAAAACTAATTTTAAAAAATTAATACTCCTTCCATTCCGAAAAGATAGTCCACTTTTTTCCACACATATTAAGAAATAACAATTATTATTGTTAAAAGATAATTTTATTGATATAACTTTCCTATTATGACACCTTAAATAACACATGAGCAATTAATATTGTA